GCAACCTCTTGTCAATATGCGTTTTCTGCAATGCATAGCTGCAAAAAATGCATAAAAAATTGTCAGCTGCTACTGCTGTCAGATTTGTCAGCTGCTGCTGCTGCCAGCCGTTACTGCTACCAGCTGCTCTTGTTGCTGCCAGCTGCTGTTGCTGCCAGCTGTTGTTGCTGCCAGCTGCTGTTGTTGCTGCTGCCAGCTGTCGCTGCTGCTGTCAGATTTGTCAGCTGCTGCTGCTGTTGCTGCTGCTGTCAGCTGCTGCTGCTGCTGCTGCTGCCGCTGTCAGCTGCTGCTGCTGCCAGCCGTTACTGCTACCAGCTGCTGTTGTTGCTGCCAGCTGCTGTTGCTGCCAGCTGGTTTGACGGGTTTTGGCGAGGTTTTGGCGCCAATTTTGGGGATGGGGGCTCGTACGTTTATGTAGATTATGTCCCCAAGTTTCAGCCCTGCATCTTTTGTCGGTCTCGAGATGAAAAATCGGTACAGACGAACACACAGACAACCTCTCATCAATATGCGTTTTCTGTATTGCATAGCTGCAAAAAATGCATAAAAATGAGCCAAAAGGCTGCCATCAATAATTGGCCAGGCAGCAAAAATAAGGGTACCAGGACCACTCGAACTGCTACTGTGGGAAATGCAAACAAACCTTGTCCTGACATCCAATTTACATCGCCCAATGATACAGGATAATTCAAACATTATCGGGAACCAGCCACGCAAGAAAATCCGTTGTGCATCCTGTAAATTTGCACCATCTTCCCACTGATGCTCGACGAATTGCCGTTGATTCTCCGAAACATAAGTTGCGCAGAGCCGTATCAATCGTATTGCTTCCATCGAAATATCTGGGAAGTTTGCGTTGCATGCAAACTCTGATAAACATTTGATAGCATCTTGAAATGAATCCAGTGCATTCCCAAATTCCGTAGAAAATACCGTAGCTGCAAAAGAAAAAGTTCAACGATGGCCAGGATGGCAAGATTCCGCGTCAAAATAACATTACGCTGAACTGTCAAAACTGCCGGCAATTGATAAAGTGATAAAAGAAAATTGAATTCTTTCAGATTTTCAGCAAAAGAAAAAAATCTTACAAATAATAAAACTG